AGAACAAGCAGCTGATCGACAAGCTGCTGCACTGGAGAAGCAACCTCATGGCTCAATGGGTTGAATGTGTTCGTATCATATATTTTTTAGGCTCCTAACTCATCTTTCTGTAGTTAATGTTTGACTCAATTGATGGTTGCTTTTAAGAAATTTGATTAATGTGCATATCTGAATTTATATGGTAGAGCAGTCAAAAAGTTAGATGGTAGTGCAAAAATCTCTATGGAGTGTTTGGGATGAAAACATCCTATCTCTTCTCCAAGATTTAATTTTTCTTTAGCTATTTTGCAATGTTTCTATTTTTATTTGTTCTAGCAAGAAAAACTTGCTCATTACTTTTCCTACTATTAAGCTTTAGTTTCTTTATGGAACAAAGAGTTATCACCCCTATCTTCAAAATCCTGCGTCCGCCACTGCCAATTAGGTAGCAAGCTAATGGATAAGTACTCAAAACCAAATGATATCTTCAGTTCTGTCCTCCAGATGGAATGGCCGACGTGGTGGACGACATCATTTGTCAGCAAACTCAAGTGGATTAGTGGAAAGAGAAAGAAAAAGGAATTATCTTGAGAATCACTCGCCCTCAACTGTACTGACCCTATATATCTATTGGGTGAAGCAGTGTTTTACATCAGCAACAGGCAACTCTGCTTTGCGTTGCTTTGCTTTGAGGCTAGGTCTCGTCTGATTTGGATGGTGCGCCTGACGCCACAGGATTGCAGTGTTTGATGCTTTGCGACAGTCTTTTGCTATGATTTTGCTAAGGGATTAGCAGCTACATAACATTCGAAAGTCTTTTAAGAAATTACATATTCTTATAACTTTATAATTATTGTCAATTCACACCCCCGAAGACTTAATATAATTCAAACATTGTGGGTTTTTTTTTCTTGCCAAAGGAAGTACTACCTCCGTCCCAATATAAATACAATTATGGTTTTCCGTGTACAATGTTTAATCGTCCGTCTTATTTGAAATATTGGGATAGAGGTAGTAGTAAATTTAGTCTAGCAGCTAATCCCACATTATGGATATGCCAATCAAGATATATTAGCAAAATATATGAATGTGGTATCAATATGTAACATTTTTTTTCATGTTGGCCTTAGCACTTGTTATAACCAAAGGGGTTAAATGACAAATCATGGTTTTTACCAACAGAATCACAAATTAACAATACAAATAATGCACTTAGAGGCACTATGTATTCTAACCTTGTCAACCAAGATGATATAAGACCTCGGCTTCTCCTTGAATTGAGGGTTTGAGGAGGAGGTGGCGGCTTGCGAGGTTGAGTCCCACTATCTGCACTGTATGCCTTGATTTTTTTTTCTATATGTGTTTACACGAATCTTAGAGCATATCTAATAGCCACAATTCGAAAGTTCTTTGTGCCAACAAAAATCTAGCAAATCCGTTTTGGTAAAGGTCTACCATGTGATTCCCCTCTCTTCTCCCCATTCAATGTGCATCAAAATTCGTGTTGGTCGTTGGATAAGCAAACAGTGTCGCTACGGGCAGGGCCGGCTCTAGGCCTAGGCGTGTTGTGTGATCGCCTAGGGCCTAGGCCAGCGGAGGCCACCAACCCAACCCCACCCCATACTGTCTTTTACCGCACAGGCTGTGAAGGGCAGCCGGAAGCCCAGTTGGTGTAGCACGTGTTCGCGCAATGTGATTAGCAGGGAAGGAGGAGCGAGCGCGCGGCGCCATCGAAGCGACGCATCGATTCGTTCTCTATGCTTCTTGTTTCTCCTGACGATAAACGACGCGATGATGCCACAGACAGCCCACACAACGAGTCCACAACGTGACACTAATGGGCGAGGGCGACCGATGATGGGGCAATTGCGAGTGCGAGTCACGGCTATGGAGTTCGAACTCCCTACTCTGACAAGCAGCAGCAGCATGCACTAGCTCTCGCTCCCAGCATCCTAACCTCATCAGGATTTGGATCATCTGCCTTCGCAAGCAGGGGCGAAGCTGGCATAAAAAAAAGGAAGGGTTGCCCTACCATTGAAAATCTACAAAATTTCAATGTAATATTGTATATTTTAGTGTTTTCAAGTGAGAAATTATGAATTTAGGGGAGGGTCATGTGCACCCTCTAGCTTTAACGTGGCTTCGCCACTGTTCAGGGTGAAGGCATGAGCATGCAGTCAGCCCCTTATCCACCGTTGAAGTAATCCAACGGCTCACGTCGCATGTGCGCTTAAACAGATTTGTCTGTCAAAGCCCACGATGGTTGTTTTGGACTGGGAAGTGTCAGCGTACGCGAGCTGAAGCAACTTACCAATTACTTCCTCCGCTTCACAATATAAGTCATTCTAGTATTTCCTATATTTATATTGATGTTAATAAATCTAGATAAATATATATGTTTAGATTCATTAACATCAATATAAATGTGTGAAATGTTAAAATGACATACATTGTGAAACGGAGGAAGTACATTAGTGCTAATACACATGAAAAAAAATGTACGGATGATATCACCAAAATAAAAATACAAGGAAACCAAAAGTTTCAATAACAGCACTAATTCATTACAAAGTAGTACTCCCTCTCTTTCATATTATAAGTTATTTGACTTTTTTTCTAATTAAAAATCGTTAAGTTTGACCAATTTATAAAAAAATTAGTAATATCTAAAATATCAAATTAGCTTTATTAAATCTAATGTTGAATATATTTTCATAATATATTTGTTTTGTGTTGAAAAGTCAAAAAAAGAAGTTTGACTAGAAGTCAAGCGACTTATAATATGCAATGGAGGGAGTATGACGCCATGTCAAGTCACATCATAAAAGCAAAAGAAAAATTATGATTAGAGCATAGGATTGATAAGAACAAAAGCAATGCCCTGGAATACAATATTCATAGCTAAAATATGCCTTCAGTGAAACTTGGATTGGAATACATTCACTAAATTTGTATTTCTAGCTTATGATCAACAGTGTTATTAATGGTTGAGTCGAGTGAAGATATTAATGATCTCATACCATCCAAAGTCACTAATGCTGTTCTAAGAAATGTTATCTTCTACCAGCATGTGTCATCAGCTGAAAAGAGAACGAAATTTAGAATGCAAAGATTATTGGTATTCGGACTGAAATATAGCAGTAGTCCTTCGTGGGCTTTGACAGACCGATATCCATTCAGACGTGCACAGGCGACGTGAGCCGTTTGATTATTTGAACGGTGGATGAGGTGCTGCTGCACGCTCATGCCTTTAAGCCGTGAAGGTAGAGGCCCCCATCGGATGGCCTATTCAGTCAAAGAAAAAGCCAAATTTTAAATTTTTAAATTTAATTTTGAGATATTTTCAACGTAGTTTCTTTTTCAGCATTGGCTTAAGTCACCAAGAATACATATATAAAAGTTTTACCTGCAAATTTATTTTTATTCCCTAATAAACTGTTTTGGCTTATTAAGGAAAAAAGCCAACCAATGGGGTCTAGAGGATCTAAATCCGCCTCATCATGACTTGGTGACAGGTGCGGACTTTGAATGATATGATTTTCTAGTAATCTCATTTGCCTCTAGCCATCTACTCCTATTTAGTTCAAAAATTAGGATACGGTTTTGTTTTGTGTAAAAAAATAGGTTAGTGTCTTGTTTAGTTCTTGTTTAATTTAATTAGCAATTTCAAGCATTAGAATGTTGCCTAAGAAATGCTCAAAGAAGAGACTTTTTAAGACAGATATTGGATATTTGTGTATTTAAGATATTCATAATCGTACTACTTCGTTTCTGCAGTTCTTTTAGTTGTTTATTATACTTTTTTTCGTGAACGCGCAAAATGATTGCACGTCAATATATTAGAAGAAAAAAGTTAAAGTTACACCACGCAATCGGCCAGACCGGCCTATACCAGGGGAAAGGAGAAAAAGCAAAATAAAAAAACTGAGGCTTAGAAAAAGAAAAAACTACGGCGGCTGAAAAAAAACTCCAAATAGCAGGAAGGGCAATATTTATTGAGAATAAAATACCATCGCAATTTGCAACTAATTACTTTACTGTTTATCATGTTAGTAATGTTTATTTGTGTGGTTTATAGAATATATACTCCCTCCGTTTTTTAAGATGACGACGTTGACTTTTTCTCACATGTTTGAACATTCGTCTTATTAAAAAAATTATGTAAATGTATAAGATATAAAATCACACTTAAAGTACTATAAGTGATAAAATAACTCATAACAAAATAAATTATAATTATGTAAATTTTTTGAATAAGACGAATGGTTAAACATATGAGAAAAAATCAACATCGTCATCTTAAAAAACAGAGATAGTATATTGCAAGAAAAAAATAGAGCCTAGCGTCCGAGTTTTCGGAGGGCCGTCGAAATTATAGAGAGTCGGCCCTGCTACAGGGACTCGATCCCACGACCCTCACATCGCGTGCAAGTGCCTCTCCCAATAAGTTAGGGCACTTTTTAAAATTTATATAATGGCTTTATATTATAATTGCATGCTATTTATATTAAGTACGTTGTACTATAGTTACATTCATCTAGTGAAAAAAAATCTATGGTGATTCATGGGTAATAATCCTCCTTGTGCTTTATATAAGCTTTTACCTTTTTTTCTGCCGAGCAGATGGGAAATTGGGAACTAGCTTTTTACTTGGATCGTCGTGGCTAGAGGCCTCAAGCATATCGGCCCATCTCTTGGGAAGCCTAGGCCCATCACAAGGACAAGACGAAGGTAGTAGAAAGTTGGAAAAAGTACACCAAAGGTCCCTCAACTTGTCATCGGGATAAAAAACGTCCTCGAACCACAGGACCAGATATGCGGGGTCCCTTGACTATATAAAACCGGTCACCCGAGGTCTTGGGGTGGTTTTGACCCCGGTTTTGGTCTAGGTGGCGGCTGAGTTAGCGTGGGACCCACATGTCAGCTGGCCACGTCAACCTCCTTTCCCTTTCTCCTCTCTCTCTCTTATCTTATCTTCTTTGAGCAACTGGGCAAGCCAGCCAGAGGCGACTCCAGGCGCGATGGAGGAGGGTGCGGGCCTCGTCATCGGCGTTGGCGGCGGGGGTGGCCTCTCTGGCGGTGGCGGGGAGGGGGTGGCTCCTCCGGCTGCGAGGGCACAGGAGAGGCTGGTGCCGCCGTGCGGGGTGCAGTCGGCTGCGGCTTGCAGCGGCGTGCGGCAGCGCAGTGCGGGGTGCGGCCGGCCGTGGCTCGTGACGGCACTATTCGGGGCGTGTCGGCTCTCGGTGCGGCGCCGTGCGGCGCCGTGGCCATCAGCGGTGTTGTGCGGGGCGCGGCCGGCAGCGGTTCGCGGCAGCGCGCGCGGTGGCGCGAGCGGTGGTGCCCGAGTCCACGCCGGCATGCCGCGGCGCGGCTCGAGGGAGGGAGGCGGCGGCCAGGTCGGCGAAGGGGACGGCGAGCAGAGGGGAGGCGGCGGCCAGGTCAGCGAAAGGGACGACGAGCCGCCGCCGACGAGGCCGATCTCTCCATTCATGGCGGGGAGCACAGAAGCAGCGGCGGCCCATTCCTTGCCTGGAGGTGCCGACGACGACGAGGGCGAGCGCCGTATCCTTGCCCCGAGCCGCCGATGACAACCGCCGCCGACGACGAGGCTGAGCGCCGCCACTCCCCATCCGTGGCGGCGGCCCGTGGGAGAAGGACATGGCCGCCGCCGTTCCTCTCCCCAGCCTGCTCCCGCCTCGCCGCTGCTCTTCTCCCCTGCCGGTCGCCGGCCGTCGGACCTCCTCTCCTCTCCCGCCTCTCCATCCTCGTCGCCGCCGCATCGCATCAGCCACTAGACGAGCAAACGAGGAGAAAGTGAGAGAAAGAGAGGAAGGGAGAGAGATGATGTGGCATCCTGACATGTGGGGCCCACGTGGGTCCCATGCTGACTTAGCAGCCACGTAGGATAAAACCGGGACCAAAACCGCCGAGGGACCTATTGTGACCAGTTTTGTATAGTTAAGGGACCTCGTATATCTGGTATTGCGGTTTGAGGATGTTTTTTTATCTCGATGACAAGTTGAGGGACATTCGGTGTACTTTTTCCTAGAAAGTTTAGGAATAAGTTCACTTGGACTCCCTTAAGTAGTGACCGAATCTGATTCGTATTCTCGAATCGCAATACCGGATATCTCGACCCACAACTATTAAAACCGATGCAATTTGACTCCCTCCCTCGTTGGTTTCGGAGGGCGGTTTCGCTGACATGGCGTGTACGTGGTAGTGTTAACCTGATTTGTGGTGTTGATGTGGCACTTAGGTGGTATTAATATTAAAATTATATAAGTGGTATCCATTTGTTGCTCATAAAAAAAATTATGAGGCCCACTAACGTGTGGCGGGGGTGGGGGGGGGAGGGTCGTGAGACATCCATCTTGGGCCGAGACAGAACGGCAACCAGCAAGGCCCACAGATAGCAAACCAATTAACCAACCCGAGCCCAGCACGTCTACCGCTGTCACGTCCAATTTACCGGTCTCCTTCCTCTCTCTCTCTCTCTACACGTCCACGAGACCGTACAACAGTTCTAGGGTCTACGTACAGGGTACAGCTAGTAGTACACCCACTATTCTTCTACAGCCCCTGTCAAATCTGGATCTACTCCTACGCGACGCGAACCGCAAATTGTGGTGTGTCCGCCTCTAGATCGGGCAACCCATGTGTTCGTCGTCCTCATCCACACCACCAGTAGTACGGAGTACGTAGTACGACGCCCCCAACCGCCGTCGTCCACGGTCTCTTCCCCGTATTTTTCCCCCTTGGCCTCTTCCCGCTGCAACCAACTCCCCCCCGCGTGCAGCTGGAAAGCGGACGCATCTCGATCTGGCCCATCTCTTCCATGGGAGGAGGAGATAGCAGTAGTACCAGTACTGCTCGTCTTGTATCGTCGCTACGGCCATCAAATTACCTGCATCGTCCCAAACCAACACCAGCTCGGCGGCAGCTCACATCATTTTTGCCCCTTTGACCGGTAGTGCTGGCATGGCAGCGGTAGTAGTAACCGTCGAGCCATGCGGCCATCCATCTGGCCGTCTCAATTCTCGTCTCATCTCCCACGTGCCCTTTCTGCCATAGTGGCATCACGCATGTCACTTGGGGTCAGAGAATATGGGCAGAGAGCCTTTCTTGAGTGGTACTAGCACTAGCTGTGCGTTTGTGCTCTGTTAAGTTTTGTCCAGTGATTGTTTGCTTGATGGTATTAGGAATCCGGATTAGGTCGATCGATGGGAACGGTCCACATGCATGCTGATGCTGATCATCAGCGAAGTTAGTACTAGTACTAGTATATTAGGTAGTGTCACGCTCGTGTCATTAGTACTTGACACCGACAGAGGCACGGAGCAGCATCGCGAGTCCACGACGCTGCATCGAGCAATAAGAATGTGTCTCACCAGCGAGAGCAAGCAATTTGGCGGCCAATCCTTTTCTGGCCAGCACACCATCACCGTCCATTCAGCATCATCCGCTCATGGATGACTCTGTCCCGGTGTGGATTAACCGAAGCAGTAATCTAATCGGGTCACCGTGCCGCCACTGGCACTGACACACTGACACCGAGTACACCAACTCGGCAATTTTCCAAGTGCGTTTTTTTACTGTGGCTAGCAATAACTGCCTACTCCAGCTGGTGGTCAACCAATTCAGATCAAGTTTATTGGTAGTACTAACTGCAGGGGATTAAAGAAAGGACAGTAGATTCCGGGCTGGGCGAGTGAACCGTACAAGGAGAGAGCTGACAAAGACAGCGTGGGACGGCGGTGGAGCAGGGGAGAAAAAGGCAGTCGATGTCCAAGGGACGGACAGCGGCTGCTTTCCACGATCAATGTCATGGCCCTCCTGGGAGGAGAGGAGCGGTTGGTGGCTTGGTGCTGGAGCTGTGGATGGATGGACCCATGCTCTTCACCGTGCAATTCAGCTTTCAGAACCGTAGCCTTCTGGAGTCCCATCTAGCTCAAGGCCAGCATCAGGGAATTAACCCAATTCGGATTGGTAGATCAGGATCAGGATGAGTTAAATTTCTAGCCTATAATAGGTTGTCGGCTATAATTAACAATGATTGTTGCGTAGTACGTTATACAGTACAAGATGTACAAGTAGTCGATGAAACTTATTTTCATAAATTTCGTATAAAACAGTGTCGGATCCATGAAACTTTTAGAACCCAAACAATTCTAACTAGAGTATTTATTAGTGAAAAAATCTATTTTAAATCTCTACATTAACATAATAGTTCTATTGCATGTTCGACAAGACGATGGTTCATCCATTGATACGAAGCATTCAATTCCTATAGGCATGAGTAGAAGTTGTTATTGTTTCAAACACGTTAAGTATTTTTTTAAATGGTTATGATTTAACATATAAAGTGGTGATGTGTATACCTCGCGTGGTTAGTGAAATAATATGGTGACATTGGAAGCATCGACTTGTTATAGTACTAGCAGAAAAATGTTAAAATATGAATTTCCCTCGAAATAGCGACCTAACAACAAAATATATATTCACATCCTAACTTATACAAAAGTCTCCCAAGTAGCATTTTCTCACTACTTTATGAATAACTTTATTCAATAGTGCACAAAAGTGACCATTTTACTCAACAGATCCTTACCTCCTACTCATGAGAAAGACAGCTCCCAGGTATAGATTAACAACACCTGATGCTGTACTAGATAAATAAAATACCATAACAAACAAACAAAAAAGAGAGCAATCCAAGGACAAAAACAACATTAATATATGAACAATATGATACACTAGCAAAGCAAGAAAATCACACATTTGCTACCCTGTGGGCCACAAGCAAGAAATGTGGCACCTAGCCACCTACTCAGCACCCCTCCTCTCCTAACTTCCTTCCTAGTATATGCAAGTGCCCATCACAAATCCTCACTCACTGACATCACTGGATATGATTCTTCCTGATCCTGTGGTGCCGGAGAAATGATGTGGTGAGAAAAGTTTACTCATGATCATGCCGTTGGTCTTTTACTAGTTATGAAATGGTGGAGCCACTGAGCTAGAGATGGCCACACCAGCCCATTGAAGGAGAAGATAATAAAGCAAAGGCTCCAGCACCCTGCATGGCTGTATCCCCCAACAACCAAACTAAAATCCATGGTCCTGACATCAAATGGATGGCCCCCGTTCTGTTTCTGAGGTAGAAACTTCCAAATTCTACCGTGTGATTCATATATTGTCCGAGCTGGGAGGTAATAGTGTGTAGGACAGTAGGAGTATTATGTAGATGTAGATGGATCTGTATCAGTTGCTACTATGAACCTCCACAGTATTCGAAGGACGGCACAATAAAATGGTTACTATAGCTGCAACACTTAGACCAAGGCACAAGTTACTGTTCACAGCGACCCTATGTGTAAATTACTCATTCCAGCCAAACAAATAGGCCTACCACTATTTTACATGTGAATTTGATCATGAGCGCAATGCCTTCCTCTTTTTCCCCATCTATTTATAACAGAAGTGCAAGGTTCAACTCACATCATTAAAAAACTAGGAAATACTCATTCCATCCCGAAATATAAAATACAACAACTTCTAAATTTTAGATTTTTATCTCAAATATAGCAACCTAAGACTTGTAAAATGTGACTTTTACCAATAAATTACCCATACTATCCCCACTGGGTATTGGTTTTATTATAGCCGTAACTAATCTGATCTTATACCCCACCCATAAAAAAACCAATTTGTTCCTCTCTTTTTAATATGGGTGAATAGCTAATTTAGTCCCTCAAGTTTCATCGAAGGCTCAATTTAGTCTTTTAGGTTTTATTTTGTCCACATAGATCCTCTAAATATTTGTTTTGGCTTAAAATCATCCTTGGACCCACTTATATGCCATATGACTATTTTTAGTCAACAATTTTGTTAGAAAATGTCCCTTTTGCTCTTAATTTGTATACAACTATACACTGGAAAAAAAAAGAAACCCAAAATAAATAAACAACATTGCATATGTACTTCCCATTATTTCAACATGTGCACGTTAAACTTGAGCCTAATGGCTATCGTATACACTTGCAAGTACATAATTTATTTTTGTTTTACATAAATTGCTATGGATTATCTCTAAAAAGAATTTATTGCATGCAATTTTTTCTCTTATATATGTGAATGAGGGGTATAAGTGTCATTTATCAAGAGAGTTGTTGGTTATGTGAGTTCAAGGATAAGTTTGAATTAAAATAAAAACTTGAAGGACTAATATGTACAGATTGAAACATTAAGAACTAAACTAATCCTTATATGAAACTTGGAGGACCACTTTGGCTATTCACCCTTTTAATATCTATGGCGAATGCTATGTCTTGTTATATTTTAGGATTGATGGATTATATATTTCTCCACGAAAATGATAAAGTTTTTTTTTGAGAAAATTAGAAACTAGGCCTCGTTTCACTGATAAAGAAGAGACACGCTAAGGGTTCACCCAAAAAATGTCACATTTTCGTCAAATTTGACATGATCATTGATCACCACTACTTACCCACTTTGGTTTGCTTTCCAGCAGCGCTGCTGGACGGCTGATCTCCTCCAAAAGCGTGGCATCGATAGTCACTCGACTTGCCCCTTTTATGCTCAGGATCTTGAGACGGCGAACCACATTCTCCTCGACTGCGTGTTCGCTCGGCAGGTCTGGCTCCGGGTGTTGTCGCCTTCTGGCCGGTCTGCCCTCTCTCCACCCCGTGGCAATTGGTTCCAGGACTGGTGGCCATCCTCTAGGGCCTGCTTACCAGAGCACCTCCGCGACAGCTTCGACTCCATGGTGCTCCTGGTCTCTTGGTGTCTGTGGAAGGAGCGGAACTCTAGGGTTTTTAACTCCGCTCTTTCTTCGATCCCAGTGGTTCTAGAGTCCATCCATGCGGAGGGCCATTTATGGTCTTTAGTTGGCGTCGCCGCTTTTGGGAATTTGTTGGGAGTGTAGCGTGGCTTAGCCCCTTCCCGCTGCTTGGAGTCTGTTTTTAGCCGCCGTAGTTTCTCTAAAGCTTCAGCTTCAGGTTTTTCTTCTTTTGCTTTTTCTTCTTTCCCCTAGCATAAGCCAGTCTGGCTGATTGCGGTGTGTAACTAAAACTCTTTTTCTTCTAATATATTGACGTGCAATCCTTTTGCGCGTTCGAGAAAAAAAACCACTACTTACCCACTCTACCACCATCATTAGCCAGGCTATATCTCAAGCACAAGTATATCTTAGAGTACATGATAGTACTACACCTAGCTGCTACAAGTATCCTACACACACTTGTTTAAATTATTGTGTCTAACCTACGAGCCCAACCCAATACCCCCTCATAAACAAGCATACAAATACAACAATCATATACCTACCCCCCCCCCCCCCCCCCCCCAATTTTCAGTCCATCAAAACAAATCCCCCCCAAAATAAAACCAATTGACCTCTCATATCTGTGTACAGCGTAACGACACAAAACGCATGTCCCAACTCCCAGGTTCCATTTCCCTTTTCTTCTTCCAACTTCCAAGCCTCAAAGTCGCCACAACACAAGAAAAGAAACAGCGAGAGAGACGCACACAACACGCACGCACGCACCGCGCCTCCGACCAGTACAAGCCCTCCACAGTAGTAGCCACCACCACCACTTTACACCCCCCTCGCCTCCCCGTCCCTTTCGCCCAGCACCTTGTCGGAGACCGACGCGCCTCCGCCCGCTCGATCGATCGAAGTCGGCGTCGCTCGCCTCCACTGCTGCTGCTGCTACTCCTCGCGCCCCTTCCTTCCTTGCGGAGGCGGCAACCTGTGACGCCACGACACCACCGGGGGAGAGCTACCGGAGTCGGCGGGCGCACCGGCTCCCACCACCACCGGGGGAAAAGTAGCCGTTGCGGCGTCGCCTTTTTTATTGTTGTAGGATGAGGGGTGCCGCTCGGCGGTGAGGTGGAGGTGGAGGTGGGTGGGAGATGCCGCTGGTGAGGTTCGAGGTGCGGAATGAGGTGGGGCTTGGGGACCCCGACCTGTACGGCGGCGGCGGCGGTGGAGGAGGAGGAGGAGGAGGAGGAGGAGTTGGGGCTGCTGCGAAGAAGGGCGGGGAGGCGGAGCCCAAGGCGCTGCTCGAGGGCGTCGCCGTCGCCGGTCTCGTCGGGATCCTGCGCCAGCTCGGAGATCTCGCGGAGTAAGCGCCCCCACATTACTTCTCACCCTCTCTCCTTGGCGCTGTGATTCAGGCGAGATTCGAGTTGCCGCGTGAGTTTGTGGCTCCAGCGCGGGATCTGGTGCGCTTCGTGTGTGATGATTTCGGCGAGCCGCTGCAGTTCCGGGGGGAAGTTTCGCGCTTGTTCGGGAGTGGTGGTGTGTGTTGGTTTGTGCATAGGATTGGGGTGATGAGAAGAAGGGGGATCTGGGGTTGAGGTTGGATTTGATGAGACGAGTGGCACGCTGGGTTTTAGGAATTAGAGTAGGATTTCGGTCTGTTGGTTATCGAGAAATTTTGCGGAGCTGCCTGTCCAGAACTGGATATGTGTCTGGGATCTCTTTCTAGGGTTGGATGCGTTTTAGGAGTGGGAAATGGCTGACCAATGTGGTTTTTTGCCGCATTTGCTTTGTTCGGGTTTCATGCTTTGGTGAATTGATCGAAACTGTTTATGTATTTTGAGTATCTCACTGTGGTTTTCAGTAAGATCTTGTGTTAGCATGGGGGTAATAGGTTATGCTTTGGAAAATTTCCCTTTTGTTTTTGGATGACATCGCCGGTAATTCTGAAATTTTCCTTTTCCATCAGTTAGTCTAAGGGGTGATTGGATGCATTTGGGTTTTGGGATAGATGTTATTGAATGTCTTTGCTACTTCTGGCTTGAGGATTTCAAGGGCTGTTGGCAATTTCCATTGCTTGTTGATGAAAAGCTCCCACCATCATTTTGGAAGTTGTTTCTGGCTATTGATTTACTTTTGAATACCGCCCTACATCCCTACATACCTGCCTGCTTTTACTATGTTTCTTTCTTTTTATTACCGCTATATGTTTCTTAACCGTGTCTGGTAAAAATTGAAGTGCTGGCTATTAGTTGGGTTCGACTATGTTGTGAGCCCTCTATTTTCATGTAATCGTTTAGTTTACTATGGCTAAATAGATATTTTGGTCTTACCAGATTTGCAGCAGATGTTTTTCACGACTTACATGAGCAAGTTATAACTACATCTGCTAGGGGGCGCAAGGTGCTGACTCGAGTACAGAACATCGAGGCAGCACTTCCATCTCTTGAAAAAGCTGTCAAGAATCAGAAGAGCCATATACATTTCACTTATGTACCAGGTACATACCGTATCAGTGTCAATATATCATGACCAGGAGTATAAAAGAAACCATGCTAAGGGTTCCTATGAATATTTAAATTGTCAACAACCATCTTAACCAATTACTTGTCACTGATTTGCCCACAAACCCATCAGAATGCACTGAAACTAGTTGAAGTAACCTGATGTTGTGCATGAGGTCCATAGTAGTTTATCACAAAATGCCAACCTGAAAAATGGCCAAACCCATAAGGAACTTCCAATTGAAGTTGGTGGTGTCGCTAAATTGCTATAGACCTTTTTGGCGGTAAGTTAACCTAGCCGTATGATGCTAGAGCTGCTCTGGTTGTTGGTAATGAATTAAACTTTAGTTTTACTGTTACTAGATCTACACGGTACAAAGTCAGATGCTGTCTCATACTTGAACGTCACTTGCTCTCACCGAATAATTTGGTTTAAGATGGTCTCACAGTTTTGTTGAATGTGCTGGTAAAATGCAGGCTCTGATTGGCATGCACAACTTAAAGATGAGCAAAATCACCTGCTTTCTAGTGATCTACCTCGATTTATGATGGATTCCTATGAAGAATGTCGAGACCCACCACGACTTTACCTTCTTGATAAGTAAGACTTGATTGTTTTCTTTATTGATGCGCTTGTGGTTCCTGAAATGTTTTGTCTTTTAGATTTGATAATGCTGGAGCTGGGGCTTGTTCGAGGAGACATTCTGATCCATCATACTTCAAGAAAGCATGGGATATGATGAGAGCAGACAAGACAGGAAATTTCCAAAGAGAAAAGAAATCTCAGAAAATCAAGGTTCCGTTATTTTACTTTCTGCATTTCTGCATCAGAGGATCAGTGGCATGCTTGTCTATCTTAGCAACAGACACATTTAATGGTAGTTAATATGTATAATTATGGTATTGCTGCTCCACTGTACTCTACAGGCAAACATATCAAACTGGTACTATCATGTTATGATTTAAACTCAATGATTAGAAATCACCATACCTAGCTCGTGTCAAGATTTGGCAGAAGTCTGAATGTTGTCCTTATGAAGAGATAGGAAATAGTTATTTAGAGTCACCAAACTTTGTTACTGGTTAATAATCTCGTGGGAACAAGAAATAACCATTTCCATGAATACATTCATGTGCTAAAATATTTGAAACTCATTTTCTATGGTCATATTCTGCTTGAGCCTCTGAGTGAATGTTTAGGAATTGCTAGATGTGTTACTGAACTATCATCCATAGCTGTTTCTGATATGGAACGGCTGTAGCTAATTGAAGTTAGAATGGCAATTGTAATCTTTTATCATGTTGGTAAATATGTGGTGAAAGACTTAATAAATCTTTTGAACTTGGACAGAGAAAAGGATCACGCTTGAGAGAACCGTATCACGGACAAACTACACCCAGGCAGAGGAATGGTGAATTGCAGCGAGCACTCACCGCTGTTCAGCTTACCAGCAGGTGCAACACAAATCCCAAATTTGAAGAGACATAAATTGCATATCCTTGTCACCTTCTCCTCCATGACTATTTTTCTTGTAGTATTTAGTTCATGCATCTCGAACAGCCTTATTAGTAATGTGTTTTGTCAGCAGGCACTTTGCGACTCCTAGTACTGATGGCCGGAGCCTTTCAGAGAATAGATCTACATCTGATGTAAGATCTAACCCTGACAATATAAGCAGATCTTCTTCGTTTAGTTCGAAAGCACGACTGAGTTTCACAGAGCAAGTTCTAGATACAAAGCCAACTGTAGTTCCTCATGAAAATGGCCATGACAAGCTGTCAAATAATAATCTACACAAGCTTAGCAATACCCCCTTGCACACACGGCTTAACGGTACCAGTGCAGATGACCTGGGTGATGATTTGAAGCAAAGTTCCCTGCTAGATGATATGACTGCTAGGTCACCTTCTGTTAAATGGGATGAGAAGGCTGAAATTACCATGTCTACAACTTCCGTCTACTGTGATGATGTTGTCATGGACAAGGCTGAACATGTACAATCTAAATGTATTAGCCCTGAGCAGCAAGAAATCGACCATAGGGAGATGGAGACTTTGGAGCAGCAAGAGGCATTACATCAAAAGGCAAAACAGTTATTAGTGTCATCAGGCTTGAACCACCATGATGAAGTCCCCAGTGAAACAGACAACTATGTGGATGCACTTAATACACTTGAATCTGAGACAGAGACTGAACCCGAGCTTCAAACTAAAAGTCGAGTGAAACCAGTACCTTCTCTCAATGTTGATGTGCCTCAGGTGGAGCTGATAGATAACATTGTCACAGAGTCTCCTGATTCTTCTGTTGCTGAATTCCCTGATGCATATCAAAATTCAAGTATGCCTCCTGCTCCTGAGAGCGCAGCTGATTTTCCCAGTTTGTCAAGTGCAGATGCTCCTGACATTTCAGAGCCAGTATTATCAGGCTATACAGCTAATCCTCATCCTGAAGTGTCAGCTATTGCTACTAATACCCCTGTGAGCAATACAGAGGATGCTCCAGGTCCTTTAGAGATTTCAGAGTCAGCATCACGAGCCTATATAATTACACTTCCTAATCAAAGTTTACCTGATTCCAAAGAAATTCCAGACAGTAAGGCAGAAGATGCACCCATAGATTCTCCTGAGAAATTGGAACCAGGACCTTCAAGCTATACACCTACAATTCCCATTAAAGAGTCCTCTATTGTCAGTCAAAATACTAATGCAGAAAATGTTTCCGGAGACTGTAGTGAAGGCACTGCTTGTGCTATATCCTATTCCCAGCATATCATTTCTGATAAGCCAACTAATGAGGTATCTGCTACTAATAGCTCACCTGATGATACCTCTAGCGATGAAGATACAGTTGAAAGTGGTGGCATTGTTGAAGTGTCTAATTCACAGCCCATGCCACTGAATGACTCATTGGAGAACGGATGTGCAACTCAAGGCCTCCCAGCAAATGCCCCTACTAATTCTACTGGAGTATCTTCTGTTAAGCTCTGGACTAATGCTGGGCTCTTTGGACTTGAGCCATCTAAACCTCCAGTATTCGGTGCCCATGATGGTCCAAAGGAGGATACTACACCTGGACACACACAACCTCAGCTTTGCCATTCAACTGGGTGCCCCGAAGTTCATTTTTCAAAGCCCACTGAATCAGCACAAGTATATGTTCCAAATGGCAATTCGCCAATTACCAGCAGTTTTGTGGGGAAACTTGTTGGTATCTGTCCTGGTTCTACAAGCCACAGCTCAGAGACTAATCAATCAACAGTAAGAACACCTGATACTGTTATTGGTCAAACAGAGGGGTCCACAGGTTGTTCCACATCTTTTGAGCACAGTGATCACAAAAATATTATTGGTAAGCAAACTTCAATAAGTGAGCTCCTAGAATCTGAAGACAGTGCTGAAAATGGTGCTGAAATGTTCTCTAAAACTGACATGACTGGAAGGAATAACATGAATCAGGTGTCTGCATCAAGCTTTTCAAGCATTGCACAAAGATTTCTTGCTAATACACTTCAGCGAAGAACTCCCAAATACACTGATCTTCCTATGTCATCTGTTATAGTTAACACTGATGCAAACGGGACTGATGAATCTACCCAAATATCTTCTCTAGCCCCCAATGAAACAACATTCGAGGCATCTCAATTTGAGAAGAAAACAGAAAATGACACAAATGGACTGCCCAAATCGTCACTCTTCTCTAGTAGCCATTACTCTGAGAAATCATCTCCGCCGCTTGAGTACATGAAAATATCTTTCCACCCTATGAGTGCATTTGAAATGTCAAAATTGGACCTAGATTTCTCTGATGAAAATCTTCATGAGAATGCCGATGATATGATGTTACCAACGTTTCAGTTACTTCCAGGGTCTTCCGTTCCACAGCTTGGTAGTGGTTCTGAATCGGAAGATGATACTTTTGGCAGATCTTATAGTTATTCTTCGTATGATGATCTAAGTCCACGGTTATATTCAAACTCTGAGTTGTGGGATCAAGAAGACGCAAATGGATTGGAGGATCATGATATGCATAACAATCCAAATCAGATAGGATCCTTCGGAGCACCAATCTCTAGCTTTGTGGAATTTGAGCAGATGGACTTATCTGGTGCGAAGTCCACTGTATCACTTACAGATCTTGGGGATGATAATGGACTTGGCACGTTAGATTCTCATCCTGCTGGAGAACTTCCTAACTTCGATACTTTGATGGCTCATCAAAATGAGGCCTTCATTCCGCACAATCCAGTAAGTTTATCACCAGATGAAGGTCAGTTGCCTCCACCTCCTCCTCTTCCCCCAATGCAATGGAGGACAATGAGACAAGTAGCTTCTGTAGAAGAAGGAAGAGGTTCTGCAGCTAAAGAAGATATGCTTGAGAGTACCTCAGATCTACCACCAGTACACACTCCTGTTCAGGAAGAACATCTTCTGCCCATCGCACCACCAGATCAACAAAATCTTCTGCCCATCGCACCACCAGATCAACAAGGGCATGCGAAGGAGGTAGTATGTCTCATCTTTAATTGACTCTATTTTGAATAATTCTGTATCAATAATCACTGTCTTTTATTAATGATTCATTAACTTGACTTATGCAGAATGACAGAAAAGTTGATGGGGTAAAAGAGATAAGCAATCCTCTCGACATTGAGATCAGAGCAAGCTTGCTTCAGCAAATCAGGGATAAGGTTTGCTTCATTCTTTCTTAAAAAAAAAATCTGTTGTTCTCTATTGTTTCATAGTTTTGTTACTCTTTTGTGTTGAAACCTGAGCAATTTTAGAATTTTTAGTTACGAACAGATAGCACCAGAGTATCATGTGACAATATATCATGGAGGCTCTGTGCCTTCTTCTTTTGCCAATACAAATATTTTTTTTTCTGATGGTTGTTATTTGATTCTTGAACTTGAAAGCTAGTTAGCAAATTTTTGGCATTCAATACTGATATTTTTGTTCATTTTAATAACTTGCAGTCAGGTCAGCAGAAGCTGAATGGACATGAAAAGTCAAAAGCAGTAGGCAATGATACTAAAAACTTGGATGAAAGGGAGGAGTTGCTTCAACAAATCAGGAGCAAGGTATTTCCATTATCTGCCCTATTGTACTTGTGTAGTATAATGCTACCTGACAGGTCTTTATGTTAAGTTTTCTTGATCCATGCCTAGTCGACAGACTTGCAGTTGAAACACGATACACTAGAACACCCACATTGAGGGCCCATCTCTCTCAACCAAACCATAAACACACAATAAGAAGGCTAAATAACTACTTAGTTTGTTACTATGCTCGTATGATGCATACAGTCATCTCAGAAAATAACTGTAGCTAGTTTGCTAATATGTTCACATGATGCAGACATTCAATTTAAGACGAACAAATGCATCTAAGACAAACACCTCATCACCAACCACTGCCAACTCCAGCGTTGTAGCAATCTTGGAAAAGGCAAATGCAATCCGCCAGGTTTGTATTGATTCTTTTTTTCCCCTTGATGTTAGTTTATGCGCTACTTTCCTTACGTTTTCCCTGATTGTTTCCATGCTATCAGGCTGTGGCCAGTGATGAGGGAGGTGATGATGATAGTTGGAGTGATATATGAATACTCAACTGGAACGCGTATGAAACTCTTTTTCTGTATATTCAGCTAGTACAAGATGAAGTGAAAAAATGTGAATAACATCCTTTTCTTCATTGTAATTAGATTTTCCAGGTCTGTTTTGTACCTCTTTTTAGTTCACATTAGTGTATTCTCTCATAGGCCCATGCGGTTGTGGAAATGGTTAGATCATTTTCACATTATGTAAATTAACTTTATTATTTATTTTTGATAGTGAAATTAACTGGTAAAATAAGCATGTTAAACTGTTTTTTCTAGCAATGTATTGAAATAATATCTCTTTGCATTCATAATAATATGGGGGTGTATCTGTGCAACAGATTTATTTTTTCTTCCCCCCCCCTACCCTTTTGAAGTATGCTGTTGACCTATTGTCCTTCCCCTCAACAAAGGCAATAATTCTGAATTGCAAATCATTCACATTACTCTATCAGCTTTGTTTGGTTAACAGCATTATCTGTGCTATTTACTTCATTTGTTATGTTGGACCTACGGAAAAATCTGGTAGATACATACTTAGTTGTGCAAACTTACTGCGTACCTGGTGTTATTTGTTAAGTTAAAAATGCTGCTAATCAGTTTAAGTCTAGGTTCTTAAGCTTTGCTTCCAACTTGGTATAATACTATTTATGTTTGTCCCTTCCTGTTCTTATTACAAACAAGAAAGGCAGAGTATGGTATGCTTTTTTATCCTTTGCATGAGTTGCACAACCTGATCCTAGACAAGCGACTTCTCATCTTGATCCTGTGGTCTCTTACTACTACTGTTTTGAACATGGGCAGACTATGCTACAGTTATATCACTTGTCCATAGTAAACTGCTAAGTGTTTTCCTTCTTTTATTAGATGTATAGCATGCAATAATAATTAGTTCAGTCACCAATTTGTTACCTCTTAGGATGCTTCTAATGCCTTTTATTTTTAACATGAGTTGTGCTTTCTATTTTATATCATTGGATGTTCTTAAATCTATTACTGTTTGTAAACAAGCTCTTCTACGGCAATGCATTTTTTTATGCCACATATGGTATCTATCTGTCATCAGATTGACGTGGTACACAATTCTTGTGGTTTGTGGGAACTGGGAAATGGTCATTTGCAATTGTTACTAAAGCAAGTGGCCCTATTTGCAATATTTTGTTTCTCACGTTGCAAACTGGGCTAGTTGAATATAATTTCCTTCTGCATTTTTCCAATGTGAATTCCTGAAGCAAATTGTCTTCCTCTCCTATTCGTTTGTTCCCAGTTTTTAACAGATTGTTCCTCTTACAGTGCCATGGTCTCATGGGCAAGATTTTGCAGCCAGGCCTCTCTATCGGTCCAATGTTCTACCAGCTACAGAAAACGAAAGTCTCAGAATCCCAGCCATGAACCCGTTGTGCAGCTCTTCAGCCCTCCTAAGCGCCAGTTCCTGAAAGAAAACAAAACAAAAGAGCCACCTGGAACGTAAAATACTTCCAGGGATGCAAAGGCTGACTTCTCACAAATCCTCACAGAAAAATGAAAAGACAGACAAAACAACACGCATAAGTCTCGCAAACTGGGATAATTTTCGGCTTCTCGCCGTGCCACGGGCGAGCCGACGAGCAGCGTGCGTCACCACCGTACGGCGAGAATTGTATGGCACGCACGGGAGGGTTAGCCACAGCGGAGATGAGACATCAGCAGCAGCCGGTGACACCACAAAATCCTCTCGCGCTCTCGCTCGCGTCTCCTCCCCCTCCCCCACTCCAACGCTTTAAAAAAACCGGGGGAAATGGCGTGCCCGCGCCTACGCCTCGCCGTGCAGCCGCGCGCGCGGTATAAATTCGCACGCGAGCCGCGATGATCTCCCTCCACTCCGCCCCCTTCACCCTCCTCGTAAAGCTCCCCGGCCGGAGGAGGAGCGGTCTTACGCCGCCGAGGTGCGCCGTCCGGGGAGCCGGGAACGTGTCGTCGGCGGCGGTGCGGGAGATGGCGGTCGCGGAGGGGCGGCGGCAGCATGAGTACTCCATCGACGCACGCCTCCGGCAGCTCGCGCCGGAGAAGGTGTCCGCCGACGACCGCCTCGTCGACTACGAGACCCTCCTCGTCGCGCGCTTCCTCGACATCCTCGAGGACCTCCACGGCGGCGACTTCAGACAAGTGGTACGGAAACCCACTCAATTTCTTCTCGTTTGATCGTGTCGATGTGCTGCTCTGCACTGCGAGAATGACGAGGATTTAACGGCGCCATGTATGGCGGCGTAGGTGGAGGATTGCCTGAGGCTGTCCGGGGAGTACCAGAGCGAGGGCGACCCGGCGAGGCTGGGCGAGCTGGGCGGCCTCCTGACGAGCCTGGACGTGGGCGACGCCATCATGGTGGCGAGCTCCTTCTCCCACATGCTCAACCTGGCCAACCTCGCCGAGGAGATCCAGATGGTGTACCGCAAGAAGGCGGAGGCGAGCCGGCGCGGGGACTTCGTCGACGAGGCCTCCGCGCCCACCGAGTCCGACATCGACGAGACGTTCCAGCGCCTCGTCCGCGGCCTTGGCAAGTCCCCCCGCGAGGTGTTCGATGCGCTCCGCAGCCAGACCATCGACCTCGTCCTCACCGCCCACCCCACGCAGTCCGTCAGGCGTTCACTCCTCCAGAAGCACGCAAGGTTAATTACAAGGGCACTACTGATGCAGTGATATGCTTCCTTTCACTTGATCATTGACGTGTTTTGCTGATGGATTTGTGAATTGTGATCATTGTTTCAGCATTAGGAGCTGCCTGACACAGCTCTGCGGCGAGGGCATCTCCGACAACGAGGAGCAGGAGATCGACGAGGCCCTTCAGAGAGAGGTGCTACGACAACTCTCGAGCAATCAATCTCGTCTCAAATTTGCGACTGATCGTGTCGTGTAATCACTAATCAGATGGAGATGTGTTCGTCGGGTCGAATTCGCAGATTCTCGCGGCGTTCAAGACGGACGAGATCCGGCGGACGCCGCCGACGCCGCAGGACGAGATGCGCGCCGGGATGAGCTACTTCCACGACACCATCTGGAACGGCGTGCCCAAGTTCCTCCGGCGCGTCGACACAGCGCTCAAGAACATCGGCATCGACGAGCGCCTCCCCTACAACGCCCCCCTCATCCAGTTCTCCTCATGGATGGGCGGCGATCGCGACGGTAGCTAAGCTATCCAATCCATCCATTTTCAAAATTTGAGATGAGAGGTGAGGAATTTAATCTGCAAGATCGTCTTCCTCGTGAATTCGACGGTGCAGGGAATCCGAGGGTTACACCAGAGGTTACCAGGGACGTGTGCCTGCTTGCCAGGATGATGGCTGCCAACATGTACTTCTCCAAGATGGCCGATTTGATGTTCGAGGTGCTTGCTGCTCTGAATTTTAGATTTGAATTTCTCAGTACAGACATTGTTAATTCGGATTTCATCCCTGGAGGGGATATTCCCTCGTTTCGTGTATGCCACCTAAAAAGTTATAAAAAAATTGAAAAAATTTGGTATAAAATATATCACTTCACAAACATGTAAAACCAAATTCACTTCTACAAGTGGCCTGTGGCTCTGAACTTCTAGTTTATCACTGTTATGCTATTTGAAGCGCTGGCCTGTGGCCTCTGAATGCGCATTTGCTTCTGAGTTCTGACCTTCTGTCTCTGTAGCTCTCCATGTGGCGCTGCAACGACGAGCTCCGAGCTCGTGCCAACGAGTTGCACCGGAAGTCCTCAAGGAAGTACGCCAAATACTACATTGGTATGATGCTTGATTGATTTTATCTATCTAGCTTGAAAAGGAGTACCACATTCGCTGTGGAGACTAGAAATTCCCATATTAATCGGAGAAAAAATAAAAAAGAAAAGGAGAGTCCAAGTAGAAATACAATCTAAAAATAGCTGAAATTCGGAATTAAAAATAAGCAATATTGAAAGAAGTTTCCATATAAGAACCCAATGCGAGATTAATCTAAATTCGAAATAAAAATAAAATAAAATCCAAAATTAGAAAAAGGAAAGGAGAATCTAAGTAGGAATACAATTTAAAAATAGCTGAAATTCGAAATTAAAAAATAAGCAATATTGAAAGAAGTTTCCATATAAGAATCCAATACGGGATTAATCAAAATTCGAAATAAAAATAAAATAAAATCCAAAATTAGAAAAGAAAAGGAGAGTCCAAGTAGGAATACAATATAAAAATAAGCAATATTGAAAGAAGTTTCTGTATAAGAACCCAATACGAGATTAATCAAAATTCTAAATAAAAATAAAATAAAATCCAAAATTAGAAAAAGAAAGGAGAGTCCAAGTAGGAATACAATCTAAAAATAACTGAAAATTGGAATTAAAAATAAGCAATATTGAAAGAAGTTTCCATATAAGAACCCAATACGAGATTAATCAAAATTCGAAATAAAAATAAAATAAAATACAAAATTAGAAAAGGAAAGGAGAGCTCAAGTAGGAATACAATTTTGAAACAACTGAAATTGAAAATAAAAAATTAAAACATTAAAAGAACATAATACGGTAGTAACTATTTTTTTAAAAAAATAAATTATGAAATTAGAAAAAGAAAAATAAGATTTAAATTAGGAATACAATTTATAAATAACTAAAATTTGTGATAAAAATAAAGACTATTGAAAAAAAAGACCATCTAAAACACATGATGAGATAAATTAAGTAACATGCCTATAAAGGAGTAGAGTGGTGGCGGTTGATATGACATATAAAAATTGTTAATAAAACACCAGATAGAATCCTAATGACGATTAAAAGGAGGAACGTTGAACGTTAGGTAGGCCGTAAAGCAAACAAGTAAGGCACTTGCTGGGACTTCTAGAAAGTAAAAAAAAAAACCCATTGATAATCATATTCGATTTTTAAAATCTCAATGACAATAAAAATGAGAAGCAGCGGGCGAGATGTATAGGAGTATAGTTGCAGAGCCGCCGACGGTTGACGGGACTTCTATAAAATTAAAAATGAATTCCAACGATAGTTATGTTCGATTTTTAGAATCACAATAACAATAAAAGAGTAGGCAACGGACGGGCTGTAGAGGGGCATAGTGACATCGTTTGATGGGGCTTCTAAAAATTATAAAAAATAAAACTGCAAGTCCAATTTTTAAAGGTTCCGAACTTCCAAAAAGTAAAAAAACCCAATGATAATCATGTTCGATTTTAAAATCTCAATGACAATAAAGAAAGTAGGCAGCGGGCGAGCCGTAGAGGAGTACAATGGCAAAGCCGCTGATGGTTTGGCGAGACTTCTAGAAAGTAAAAATGAACCCAAACGATAATTATGTTTGATTTTTAAAATCTCAATGACAATAAAGAGAAGAAACAGTGGACGGGCCGTAGAGGAGTATAAGGTAACGTTTGACGGGACATCTAGAAATTATAAAAAAAAACTCAACGTGACAATAAACTCTAAAAACTATAAAATCCAATTTTTAAAGGTTCCAACAAGAATGAATAGAAATAGTGGTAGATCGAGCAAGCAAATAAAAAAGGAAATGACATAAGGGGTAGCAACTGGTGTGACTTTTAAAAACTATATAATTAGAAACACGAGGATGATAAGGTTTGGTCTTTTAAAGTCTTAAGACAATGAGATAGCTATTTAATAAATTTTAAGTAAAATCATACTAAAAAATATATGATTTTGTTTGGGTGCTAGCCGCGCAATTGCGCGGGCCACCCAGCTAGTTTGTTATAAAACCGGCCCCGAAATCACATCGGAAACCAAACGCGGAAGAAACGCCATAGGAGATCCAAACATGATGACGACACCGAGGCACGATATTTGATAACGGAGTTCAGCCGAAGCCTACATCTCCGGGGCACTGATTACGGGCGCTCCTCCCCGATCCAGCATATTACAGCGTATCAGAGTTACAATGACTTACGGCCGGTCGCTGCCGGCAGCCGCTCCCTCTCACTATGCTAAGTCGCCATGCAGTTACAACAGGCACGCCCCTCTATTTATGAGAGATCCTATGATAGAGTCCGACTCATACTCTAGTCCTACACCTATTACAACTCCAAGTCCTAAACTGTAACCGACTACGTACACATATTTGACACAAACTCTAACAAACTCCACCTTGGCGAATATGCCACGCCAACCTGAATCTGTTACTTGCTCGAACCTCCGTGTACCCGGACTTGAGTTGGTCCTTTTTCGCCGCTCATGCCGAGCTGCCCCGACAAGCCTCCACCAGGCTCACCGTAAACAAGAGACTCCGCTATCCTTGTAATTTCTTCCTCCTAACTCCACCTGCAACAGTGCTCCACCTTCTCTCATATCACCATAGTCGTCTTGCCAAATGAAATTGAATTCCTTCCTAGCTGTCACATCATAGACTCTCCGAAGACCATGTTCACCTCCATCTTCCGTCTTAAATTTGACTTGATCTAATCCATGGCCAGATAACAGATGTCATCACCAAAATAGATAAATCAAACTCACCAGACATGAAGAGAACCCTTTCTTCCTTGTCGTCTTATAAACCAAGCTAATTAATCCAACATCCACGCTTTCCCGCATCCGTAGACTGAATTCCGGATAGTTTGAGAAAATCACCGTTGCTTTGAATCATCTGAAAAAATTACCACCACAGCGCTTGCTCTTCCTCTTCAGTGACGCAGATTCCATATATCCCCATCATGCAAACCTCATAGATCCTGGATATACCCTGTACTGCTAAACAGACCGTTGACACCCACAACGATTTTCCCCCGCTGTTGCCCGGGAAACCATCTTGCCCATCCACGACTGCCACTGCCGAGTCCACGAGTTAACACAATACCTTGCAATTCTACATGCACGATCCTTCTCGCATATAACTTATCTCACCAGACTACTACACAAGTATGTGCTAACATGTTTGTCCTTCGATACATGTACCAGGCCAACACCATCACCATGTATGGACACATGCATTAGCCATCAAACATCACGTGCGCATAGTCTAGTCTTCATCAAGTTCCAATGCACTAATCACCTTGCATGCTTGCTTGGTCCCACGTGTAAGCTGCCTTGACTCAACCACCACAGCCCATAGGCAAAACTAGTCCACCGCGGAACAGGAGATCGGTCAAACAGAATCAGATCGATCGATCCCCTTCTGCTTCCTTCTGCTCGTGCTCCTACCGCAGCAAGAGACCGCCGCTTACAGCATCGCTCTGCACGCCTGCTGCGACCGTCTCCGTCTCGGATCTGCATAAGCACCAGGAGCCCGCACGCTTCACCAGCTTCCTCAACGCCGCCATCGAAGACGCCGCCTTGGTTTCCGACATCGCTGCCCGTCCTGAAGCGCTTCGTCGCCTCCTGAGCCCCCCCGGTGAGGGCGCCGCCGCCGCCGCCGTGGGCTTCCCGCCGGTGAGGATGCCAACGCCCACGGAAGCCTTCTCCCCGACACAGGAGCGTCGCCGCCGCCCCTTCGCCGGTACCTGCCGCCTCCTCGCCAGAGCCGGCCCGCGTCGAACTCGCCGGCACCTGCACGACGACTACACCAAGCCGTGCTTCTACCGCTCGCAGTTCGTCGCCCAAACCCCTGCCGCCCAAGAAATCGGGTCCGATCTCTTCATTGCTTTGGTTGGTTTGATTCGATCGCAATCTCTGCAATCCCGTGGATTCCTCTTGCTAATTTACAGGGACAAGTTGAGCCCGATTCTATTTCCAAATCGAATTCTCCTCCGGTCCCCTTTCGTGTCCGATGTGGTATCCTTCTCGATCTCTTCTTGTCGTGTGTATTGAAGCCGAACCTGTGCTCGACTCCTTTTCTACTACGGCCTCTCCGAGTCGAGTCCTGCATGAAACTGCTACTACCAGCACTGCTTCTATCTCCACCGCCGGCTCGGCCTCGACGCAAAACCGCGCACACCGCCACGACCCTGACCTCCAAGCTTCACATACCCCTAGCAACGTCCTGGTTCCAGAGCAAACGCTTCTCTGTTCTGCCATCCATTGCATGTACGCTGCTAAGTAGCAATCCTCCATGCAGTACTTGTCGTTAACACCTCCAAAACAGCCTGTTGGATCCACCCGCTCCGACTTCCGATTGAACGCCATCAATCTAGTCGCGAGCCGAAGCCGACAAGTCGCATGCCGTCTTCCCAGCCATCGAACGACCCGAGCGCTACGTCTAGCCATCTCCCTGTCGAGTGCAGCTCATCGAAAGGCCTAGGCCACCCCGCTCAGAGTGTTCGATCCACCGACCGAGAACGCCGATCGCCTCTAGCTTCAATCAACCCGAGCATGGGGCCTCACGTCTCCCTGTTGAGAGTAGCTCACCGGAAAGTCCGGGCCACCCGCCCGAAGTGTCCGACCCACCGATTGGATCGCCAATTGCTTCCGCCGCCATCAACCCGAGCACCACGTCTAGTCATCTCCTTGTTGAAAGCAGCCATCGAACGGTTCAGACCGCCGCCTGAAGTGTTCGATCCACCGATCAAATTCCGTTGATTGCCGCCGTGCTCCACCTTGCGTCCATGTCCGTCCCTAGACACCCTGTGTAGTCGTCGCAGCATGGAGCACCTCCCTCGTACCTCTACCATGGATCTCCCGCAGGCTCTGATACCACTTGTTATAAAACCGGCCCCGAAATCACATCGGAAACCAAACGCGGAAGAAACGCCATAGGAGATCCAAACATGATTACGACACCGAGGCACGATATTTGATAACGGAGTTCAGCCGAAGCCTACATCTCCGGGGCACTGATTATGGGCGCTCCTCCCGATCCAGCATATTACAGCGTATCAGAGTTACAACGACTTACGGCCGGTCACTGCCGGCAGCCGCTCCCTCTCGCTATGCTAAGTCGCCATGCAGTTACAACAGGCACACCCCTCTATTTATGAGAGATCCTAGGATAGAGTCCGACTCATACTCTAGTCCTACACCTATTACAACTCCAAGTCCTATACTGTAACCGACTACGTACACATATTCGACACAAACTCTAACAGTATTTTACTTAGATGAGATGTTGAAATTATTTGCGATAATTGCTAGTTTTATTCATCTATTGCAGAGTTTTGGAAGAAGATTTCTCCAGGAGAACCTTACCGCATTATACTCGGCGATGTGAGGGACAAGCTGTACAACACCTGCGAGCGTGCTCGCCAGATCTTGTCGAAGGGAATTTCTAGCATTCCTGAAGACCAGACTTACACCAATGTCGAGCAGGTTGCAAAATTTAAGCTCAAAAACTATCACAGTGTTTGAAACTCAGGATTTTCTCTGTAAAATATACAGAAAGTAGTTTAGTTTCTTTATTGATCGGGGAAAAAATTCCCCGCATTCTAAATGTGACTTCTCTAAACCATATGAAGTTTATACTTGGTGAACTTTGCTGCAGTTCTTGGAGCCGCTTGAGCTGTGCTACCGATCGCTGTGCGACTGCGGCGACAAGCTGATCGCCGACGGCAGACTGCTCGACTTAATGCGGCAGGTCTCCACCTTCGGCCTCTCCCTCGTCAAGCTCGACATCCGGCAGGAGTCGGAGCGCCACACCGACGCCATGGACGCGATCACCACGCACCTCGGCATCGGCTCCTACCGGGAGTGGCCCGAGGAGCGGCGCCAGGAGTGGCTCGTCTCCGAGCTCCGCGGCAGGCGCCCGCTCTTCGGCCCCGACCTGCCGCAGTCCGAGGAGGTCGCCGACGTGCTCGGCGCGTTCCGGGTCATCGCCGAGCTCCCCGCCGACAGCTTCGGCGCGTACATTATCTCCATGGCCACCGCGCCGTCCGACGTGCTCGCCGTCGAGCTGCTGCAGCGGGAGTGCGGCGTCAAGAAGCCCCTGAGGGTCGTCCCGCTGTTCGAGAAGCTCGCCGACCTTCAGCAGGCGCGCGCCACCATGGAGCTCCTCTTCTCCGTCGACTGGTACAAGGAGCGGATCGACGGGAAGCAGGAGATCATGATCGGGTACTCCGACTCCGGCAAGGACGCCGGCCGGCTGTCCGCGGCGTGGCAGCTGTACAAGGCCCAGGAGGAGATCGTCGGCGTGGCGGAGCGGCACGGCGTGAAGCTGACCATCTTCCACGGCCGGGGCGGCACCGTGGGGCGCGGCGGCGGGCCGAGCCACCTCGCCATCCTGTCCCAGCCGCCGAACACCGTCAATGGCTCGCTCCGCGTGACTGTCCAGGGCGAGGTCATCGAGAAGTCGTTCGGCGAGGAGAACCTCTGCTTCCGGACGCTGCAGAGGTTCACGGCGGCGACCCTGGAGCACGGCATGAACCCGCCGGTGTCCCCGAAGCCCGAGTGGCGCCGCCTGCTCGACGACATGGCGACGGTGGCCACTGACGAGTACCGCTCCATCGTGTTCCAGGAGCCGCGCTTCGTGGAGTACTTCCGCGCCGCCACGCCGGAGACGGAGTACGGGCGGATGAACATCGGCAGCCGGCCGTCGAAGCGGAAGCCCGGCGGCGGCATCGAGTCGCTGCGCGCCATCCCGTGGATCTTCGCGTGGACGCAGACGCGGTTCCACCTCCCCGTGTGGCTGGGCTTCGGCGCCGCGTTCAGGCACGCCATGCAGCAGAGCGACGCCGGCGGCGGCCTCGCCACGCTCCGCGAGATGTACGACGAGTGGCCCTTCTTCCGCGTCACCATCGACCTCCTCGAGATGGTCTTCGCCAAGGGCGACCCCGGCATCGCCGCACTCTACGACGAGCTCCTCGTCCCCGACGACCTACGTCCATTCGGCGAGCAGCTCAGAGCCAACTACGTCGAGACACAGCGCCTGCTCCTGCAAGTAAGCAATCATCACTTCATCGGGAAAGTATTTTCTAGCACCCATGTTTTATATATCAAAGTATTTTCATCGGGAAAGTATTTTCCTGCAAGTAAGCAATCATCACTGATTTTATCTAGTTATATATCAAATTTAGTCTTACATGTTTATCAATTAAATTTATGTCGTCATACTAATTTTTTCTATAACTATTTAAGTCATACATGAATAATGCCACGGCACATTTTATCTCCATCGAACACGCCGCCGTCATGATATATTTTTCGTGAAAGCGTAAAAAATTGCACGTTAATATATTAGATCGCCGTGACATATCACACGCATTTGTTCGTATTCATAGGTTGCTGGGCACAAGGATCTCCTGGAGAGTGATCCGTACCTGAGGCAGCGGCTGATGCTGCGGGACTCGTACATCACGGCGCTGAACGTGTGCCAGGCGTACACGCTGAAGCGGATCCGGGACGGCGGGTTCAGGCCGGAGACGCGGCCGCCGCTGTCGAAGGAGCTTCTGGGCTCGTCGGCGGTGGCGGAGAAGCTGGTGAAGCTCAACCCAAACAGCGAGTACGACCCCGGGCTGGAGGACACGCTCATCCTCACCATGAAGGGCATCGCCGCCGGCATGCAGAACACGGGCTGATCGATGCAAAAGCACCATGGCCTTGCCGGTTAAAACTTTGTAGAGAAGATTGGTGGGAGTGGATTGAGACTGTAAATTGGTGTTGCTGACTTGTTTCTGGTGCTTATTGGGTCAAGAACAGATCGTACTGTTCTTGTTTCTTCAGTTATCTCTGTTTTTTAGCAGTGATGGTACACGGATTTCCTGGTTCTAGCTTGAACCGTGATCACTGTTTTCTTTCAGTAACGTAGCAGATTAACCTGGAGTGGGGATATACCTGAGAATTCAGCTTCCCAAGCATATCTTTTTTTGAAACTAATTTCCCAAGAATATCTCGGCCGGAAGAAATCCAAAGTTCCTGGTCTTACTGATCAGCACGATTTATAACTGTGGATCGCCACTTTTACGCTTTGAACCCATACAGCATGTTGGATCTGATCATCTAGTGAAGGAAGCAAAGTATGAAAAACTGAACTTTTTCTAAAGAAGGTCGGAAAGCAGGTAGTCCCGGATTCACAGTCCTCAGGGACCCACCTGTAAAGATATGTTTGAGAAACTTAAAAATCTGAGAAACAGTTTGTTTGGTAGTAGTATCCAATTTTTTAAAATCTACAAAAACTTGAAATTCAATTTCTAACTTTCAGTTAATTTTTTAAATTCTATAGCTGTTCATAATTCCAACGAAAACCAGTTGAATTCTGCAAAATTTTGATGTTTTGACATGGCTCGTAATTAAGTTTCGATTGAAATTTTGAAGGTTAAACAGTGATTTATCGAAATTTAATCAAAATTTATTGAAAACCATGATACCGATAGAACTCGAAATTTAGTGGTCAACCGTAAATATAAAGAGAATTTAGAGTATTTACCATCCAATTCGCGTGCCTTAACTTTTTTTACCACCCAATTCGTATGCCATCTATAATATGTCATTAGGATAGCTAATTAGTATATTTGGTACCACTTTCTCAGTTTTTGATGTATTTCTCATTTCTTAACTCAATTTGTATTTCTTTTCAGGCATTGTGGATTATTTTTCCCCTGGGCCCACTGTCAGATCAAAGGAAGATGTTTCCTCTTCTCTCGATCGATTGATCCCTCCAGTCTCCAGGCGTCGCTCGGCACGGCCGTGAGCGCCACCACCTCGCCGCCGTTCGCCGCCACCACCCCCGCCGCCGTGCGCCGCCACCACTCCGCCGCCGGGCGCCGCCAACCCCGCCGCTGGGCGCCGCTGGGCGCCGCCGGCACTCGACGCCCCACTGCCGCCACCAAGCTGTAGTTTGTTTTTTTCAGTGTTTCAGTTGGAAAAACACATAGTTGCTTATACTATGTGTAAATACACTCTAATATAGAGGACAGAGAACACTCATTGATTGTTCATATTTTGATGTACTAGTTCATGTATTGTGTATACTATATACATAGACATATTTATATACATAGACATATTTGATTGTTTATGGGAGTGTACATATCTGAAATTGGTAGCAATTTTCCATGCGATGTTGTTCAGAATGGCAGATGGAAGAACGGGAATCTACATGGAAATTGGTTTAGTTTCAGGCTTTCAGCGGCACAATACAGACATCTTCAGTTTGCACTTGTTCCTGTTTGGGTTATGTAATCTGAAGAAAGGAAGATGATCATATGTTCAGTTCTTGGTGATATAAAATGCCTGTCAGTTAACTACATAAGTAACTTTGGCTATCAATTCTAGCTAGAATGACATCAGCTGCATGCTGATCGGGATGGAGCACAACGACAATGCTGGTCAGAGACTGAGAGTAACGAAGCAACTATGTCTCTCAATGCTATGCAAGAAACATAGTAACTGCAGTCTCCTGCAGAAAAAGTAAAACATGAGCTTGGTGCCAGCGGGAGCTGGGCCGGCGGCGAACTGTGGTGGCGGGGGCGCTCGGCGGCGGCAGAGTGATGTGCGGGGCGTTGAGGGCAGGCGGCGGCGCTTGGTGGCGGTGGGGCATCGACTGGGCCGGCGGGTTGGTGGCGCTCATGCTCTCGGCGCCGGAGTGGATGTCGATGGCGCTCAGATCGATCGATCCAGACTCCAAAGGATATCTCACCCTTTGATCTGACAAGTGGGCCTAGGGGCAAAACAGTCCACAATATACCTAGAAAGAAATACAAATTGATTTAAGAAATGAGAAATACATAAAAAACTAAGAAAGTGGTACCAAATAGACTAATTAGTAGTCCTAATGATATATTATAGAGGGCATACGGAGGCACACGAATTGGATGGTAAATACTCTGAATTCTCAAATGTAAACCCCTGCTGTGACAAGCTCCAGCCCTGAAGTCCCAAACCATGGCCTAAATCTGCTTCAAAAGAAGCAAGAATTCCCAACCCCTTCCCGAGGGTCTGGGCCTCGAAGCGGAAGCATTCACACCCGCAACCCTCTCGCCTCTGGACTCCGGCCATGTCGCTCTCGTCGGCGCGTCAGCGTCGGGCCACGGCCGCGTCGCCGCCGACCGACGACGGCTACTCCAAGGAAGCCAAGGACAGGAGGCGGCGCCCCAGCGGCGAGGAGGAGGAGGAGGGCATCCGGTGGTTCCTCCCGTTCCTCGCCCTCGGCCTCCTCCGCCACATGAGCGCGTCCTCCAACCTGATCCACGACTGCGACGAGGTGTTCAACTACTGGGAGCCCCTCCACTTCCTCCTCTACCGCTCCGGCTTCCAGACCTGGGAGTACAGGTCTCGCTTTTTTCTCGCTTCACTCTCCCTAAACTAAACCCTAGCTGTACAGTTCGTTTTGATGCTCGATGCGCGGGCGGAATCGCGGACCGGGATTGCACGGATTTGTGCTGTTGTACGGAGCAGGAGAGAATCGGAGGGTAGATTTTAACAAGTGTTCGTAGTGGTTCGATGGGGATGTGAAGATCTGCCGCTATTTGGGGATGGTTTGCTGACACTTCTGGGTGGGCGAGTCTGAGTGGAATGGAGCCTTGGAGATTACCTGGGAATGCGTAGTGGCGGGTGAGCATTTGAAGGACTTCGGCTTGGGAGCAATGGTGTAGCCGTGTAGGTTAGTGGAGGTGCTTGATTGAAGGGTTTTAGGTCGCGTGAGTATGCACTGAGTTACAATTCGGAGGTTTATGACATGAAGCGTTTTGTTTTAGATTTGGCACCAATGATGAGTCTGTGTGTTGGGGCTTTGCATTGTCTGCTTCTGTAGTTTGTCTGATTTGGGGTTTTGCAAATTGTGGTGATTTGATGAGGCTGGGGTGTCCAAATGATTATATGAGGTCTTCAGATGCATGGCAGATTTATGGAGCAAAATTGTTTGATTTTCATGAATCGGGGGGGGGGGGGGGGGGGGCGGGTGGAATAGTTTTAGGTAAGGGTGACTGACTATACCACTAGGATAAAAGGCACTGGTGCAGTGATAAACATGGCCAACTATCTTAGAATCAAAGAGAACGGTATTTAATTGTTTCAATTTTTATTGGGTTACCATATTTTTCTTGTATTCTAAGATTGGAAATAAGCTGTGATACTTAACAGCTCATTGTAACTATATTGCCAAACTGACATTTAAAATAAATATTGACGGTTCATTCATGTTTGAGGCTCCAATGTTTTGCATTCCTAGGGGTTCCATTTGAAGCCTGGTTTCAGAGAACTAGTGAAGTTGCTGGTATGGTTTTATTATAATTAGCATGCGGAAGTTTGTTTCGAGTGGCTTCAGAATCGGATGATGATAAGGCAGTTGCATGGTTTCTGTAACTGTGGCTGAAAAAATGTTGCTTACACTAACAAGGATTTGTTTTGATAGATCTTGTTCTAACAATATGATTCCTTCTATTATTATTATTTTTGCTAATCCATACATGTAACAATATGTGTTCTCACTCGATGGTGCCTCCCTGGCTGGCAATATGGTGGATGGAAATCTTCATAGTGTAGATGGGCCACTTTGTGTTTTGGTTTCAGCTTCTGCAGTCTTTTATCTTTCAATTCCAGAGCTTGTAATTTTGTTCGGGGGATCACACAGGCAGTAGGATGGCATTGTTGCAGTGTGCTTACCACTTGTTATGCTTTTTCTATTGTTAGTTTACTATGTAGCGGGATGCTTTTCCTATAATGGAAAGGGGGGACTGGGGGAGGCATGGCCTCTCTGTTTTGAAAAAAAAAAGAAAAAAAAAAGCTCTAGTATCTAAACAGAATCAACTAGACATAGATCTAATTCGAAGAATTCTTGTATATAATTTCACAGCGTTTGTGAGTACATGACGATATGAATGGTTTTGATATTGATTTTGTGTAATTCTATCCTTGCAGTTCCAACTTTGCTCTTAGATCATATCTGTACCTTTTCATTCACGCTCTTGTAGCTGGGCCTGCTTCAATGATTTTTGGGGAGCATAAGGTTTGTACTGTTCTATTCTTTGTTTCCTCACCTTTTAAGATCTGCTAATTAAATTCTTACTAGTCAATACCTACCACTAATCGTATTTAATTTATTCTTTCATGATTGTTAAGGTTCGAGTGTTCTACTCTGTGAGAATCTTTCTTGGCCTTATATCAACTATAACAGAAACTGTTCTGGTTGTTGCTCTTTCAAGAAAATATGGAAAAAGACTTGCTTGTTATGTCCTTGCAATGCTGTGCTTAACCAGTGGCTGCTTCTTTGCCAGTACCAGTATGTTTCTCAGATTTCAGTTCTATATTATCATATGGAAGCTCTATTGCAGCTGTGTAACTATTCAAACTGAAGTGGTACCTTATATTTTTTTTTCCTTATTGCAGGTTTCTTGCCAAGTTCATTCTCCATGTATGCTGTAACACTTTCCTCTGCACTCTTCCTACTTGAGAACTATGCTGCTGCAGTCTCTGTTGCAGCTGCAGGAGTTATCCTTGGTTGGCCTTTCTCAATTTTGGTGTTTCTCCCTATTACGGTTTACTCACTAATTAGAGGATCTTTCAGAAGAGTATTTTTATCTGGATTTCTGACTTCCATGTTCCTTCTTGTAAGTTGCACATGTATATTGTCATTGTTTTTACAATGAAGTCCAAATTTGATCTGATTGTGAAAGTTGCATGCCAGGTCCTTTCGGTTATTGCTGATTACTACTGCTATGGCAAATGGACAGCATCAGTGTTCAATCTTCTGAAATATAATGTGTTTGGTGGTGGTGAAAGTCACTTGTATGGAACAGAGGGGCCTTCATTCTATTTTAAGAATGGATTCAATAACTTCAATTTTGCGTTCATCTTGGCTCTGCTATTTTTGGGGTTTGTGCCATTTGCAAGGAAGAAATATGTCCCAGATCTATTGATA